CAACTGTCTTCAGTTCCTGCTTGTTCTTGGGCATTTTCCCTTCAGTTTTGTCTTCAGCAAGTGAAATGCATGCTCAATCGGATTCAGGTCAGGTGATTGACTTGGCCATTGCATACAATTCCACTTCTTTCCCTTAAAAAACTCTTTGGTTGCTTTTGCAGTATGCTTTGGGTCATTGTCCATCTGCACTGTGAAGCGGTGTCCAATGAGTTCTGAAGCATTTGACTGAATATGAGCAGATAATATTGCCTGGAACACTTCAGAATTCATCCTGCTGCTTTTGTCAGCAGTCACATCATCAATAAATACAAGAGAACCAGTTCCATTGGCAGCCATACATGCCAGCGCCATGACACTACCACCACCATGCTTCACTGATGAGGTGGTATGCTTAGAATCATGAGCAGTTCCTTTCCTTCTCCATACTCTTCTCTTCCCATCACTCTGGTACAAGTTGATCTTGGTCTCATCTGTCCATAGGATGTTGTTCCAGAACTGTGAAGGCTTTTTTAGATGTCGTTTGGCAAACTCTAATCTGGCCTTCCTGTTTTTGAGGCTCACCAATGGTTTACATCTTGTGGTGAACCCTCTGTATTCACTCTGCTGAAGTCTTCTCTTGATTGTTGACTTTGACACACATACACCTACCTCCTGGAGAGTGTTCCTGATCTGGCCAACTGTTGTGAAGGGTGTTTTCTTCATCAGGGAAAGAATTCTTCGGTCATCCACCACAGTTGTTTTCCATGGTCTTCCGGGTCTTTTGGTGTTGCTGAGCTCACTGGTGCGTTCCTTCTTTTTAAGAATGTTCCAAACAGTTGTTTTGGCTACGCCTAATGTTTTTGCTATCTATCTGATGGGTTTGTTTTGTTTTTTCAGCCTAATGATGGCTTGCTTCACTGATGGTGACAGCACTTTGGATCTCATCTTGAGAGTTGACAGCAACAGATTCCAAATGCAAATAGCACACTTGAAATTAACTCTGGACCTTTTATCTGCACACTGTAATTGGGATAATGAGGGAATAACACACACCTGGCCATGGAACAGCTAAGAATCCAATTGTCCCATTACTTTTGGTCCCTTAAAAAGTGGGAGGCACATATGCAAACTGTTGTAATTCCTACACCGTTCACCTGATTTGGATGTAAATACCCTCAAATTAAAGCTGACAGTCTGCAGTTAAATTACATCTTGTTCGTTTAATTTCAAATCCATTGTGGTGATGTATAGAGCCAAAAATGTTAGAATTGTGTCGATGTCCCAATATTTATGGACCTGACTGTATATATTCCATTTGTATATTCTTGCATTTGTATTTGATTTGCATTTTTTATTTTGGCATGATTTCCCAATGTGAGAATTAGTATAATAAGATAATACAGCGGGTAAAATATGTATTGAACACGTCGCCATTTTTCTCAGTAAATATATTTCTAAAGGTGCTATTGACATGACATTTTCACCACATGTTGGTAACAACCCATACAATCCATATATGCAAAGAAACCAAAACAAATAAGCTCAGAAATTAGGCTAGGTGTAATAAACTGGAACCACACCGGGAAAAAGGATTGAACAAATGAAGAAAGGGAGTTGCAAAAAGACATGGAAAACTAAGACACCAGCTGAAATCTATCAGTAATTAGACAGCAATCCTGCTTCTTGTCAGTGCAAATTAATATCAGCTGGTTCAGTTTCAACTGATGGCCTATAAGAAGGTGTCTCATTACCAAGGAGTTACACAAAAAGCAAGGCGCAGTGAAGACCTTTGCAACTTTATTGTTGCAAAACATACTAATAGCATCGGCTACAGAAGGATTTCTAAATTTCTGAATGTTCCAGTGAGCACTGTTGGGGCCATAATCCGAAAGTGGAAAGAACATCATTTCACCATAAACTGGCCACGACCAGGTGCTCCTTGCAAGATTTCTGACAGAGGAGTGAAAATAATTATCGAGTTGTCCAAAAGCCAAGGACTGCTTGTGGAGAGCTTCAGCAAGACCTGGAATTAGCAGGTACAATTGTTTCAAAGAAAGTCATGCACTCAACTGCCATTGCCTGTATGCACGTTCACCATGCAAGACTTCATTTCTGAAGAAAAAAGAATGTTGAAGCTTGTTTAAAGTCTTCTGCACAACATTTAGACAAGTCTGTGAAATACTGGGAGGGTATATTCTGGTCAGATGAGACCAAATTGAACTCTTTGGTTGCCATAATACACACCATTCGTGGAGGTCAAGTGGCACTGCACATCACCTCAAAAACACCATACTAACAGTGAAGTTTGGAGGTGGGAACATCATGGTGTGGGGATGTTTTTCAGCATACAGTACAGGCAAACTTCATATCCTTGAAGGAAAGATGAATGGAAAAATGTAACAAGACATTCTTGATAAAAATCTGCTGCCATCTACCAGGATGATGAAAATGAAATGAGGGTGGACATTTCAGCAAGATAATGCTTCCAAACATAAAGCCAAGTAAATTCCCAATTGGTTTCAAAGAAAGAAAATAAAGCTGCTAGAATGGCCCAGTCAATCACCTGACTTGAATCCAATAGAAAATCTATGGAAAGAACTAAAGGTCAGCTCATAGAAGAGACCAACAGAACCTTCAAGATTTGAAGACTGTTTGTGTGGAAGAATGGGTCAAAATCACATTGGAGCAATGCATGCCACCAGTTTCTCCATACAGGAGGCATCTTGACGCTGTCATTGCTAACAAAGGATTTTGTACAAAGTATTAAATACATTTCAGTTAGCGTGTTCAATACTTTTTCCCTGTGTCACTCTATTTATTTACACATAACTTAATTTTTGAACCTATTTGTTTTGGTTTCTTTGTATATATGGATTGTATGGGTTGTGACATGTGGTGAAAATTGCATGTCAATAGCACCTTCAGAAATAGATTTACTGAGAAAAATGGTGACGTGTTCAATACACATTTTACCTGCTGTATATACATCTACTGTGTGTGTATGTGTGTATATATATATATATAATTTTATTTTTTTTTTTGGGTGGTCATAGAGTGCCCGAGTGCCAAACCATCAGCCCCTTGTACATATTGTGCAGCCGTTGGGGCCCCTTTAGGCAGTAGTCTGTGTTTTGGTGTTGGGAAATTGTTCTTTATACTGCCTTCTAGTAGTAGTGAGTAGGGTTAGTTCTCAAACTGACAAATTTCTAAAAGTTAATGTGGTTTTTGTTCCAGAAAAATGGTAGATATTGTAATGAAACCTAAGTTTGGAAATTACATACAAATAGCAAGTCTGGGTGAAATTTTATGGCTTTTTGAGATAAATTAGTTAACCCGATATTGGCAAGAATATGCTGATGAGCGATTATTTGCTGGATGTTTGAACAAAAATCTGTGCATGGCTAGCTTTATTTTTTCTGTGGCGTCTATACCTTTTCTCTTTTTATGTTTCTGCTTTCCTCTGATCTTTTATAATGGATCTTGCTAGTAATATCAAATGTGGGACAAAAAAAATTTTAAGGGTGCTGTAATAAAGCCAGAATTGCAAGCCTTGATTTGTCAAGGGGCTGTAATAGCAGAGATCTCTAGCAGTCTCCTGTAATGTGTCTATGGCTGTCTCTTGCAGCACATATCTAGCCTCAAACTCTTAAAACATGTCCACAGCCTCTGATCATCTCCTGTATTTTGTCCACAGCCTCTGATCATCTCCTGTAATATGTCCACAGCCTCCGATCATCTCCTGTATTATGTCCACAGCCTCTAATCATCTCCTGTATTATGTCCACAGCCTATGATCATCTCCTGTATTATGTCCACAGCCTCTGATCATCTCCTGTAATATGTCCACAGCCTCTGGTCATCTCCTGTATTATGTCCACAGCCTCTGATCATCTCCTGTATTATGTCCACAGCCTCTGATCATATCCTGTAATATGTCCACAGCCTCTGATCATCTCCTGTAATCACAGCCTCTGATCATCTCCTGTATTATGTCAACAGCCTCTGATCATCTCCTGTATTAGTATCATAGCCTCTGGTCATCTCCAGAATTATGTCCACAGCCTCTGATCATCTCCTGTATTATGTCCACAGCCTCTGATCATCTCCTGTATTATGTCCACAGCCTCTGATCATCTCCGGTATTAGTATCATAGCCTCTGATCATCTCCTGTATTATGTCCACAGCCTCTGATCATCTCCTGTATTATGTCCACAGCCTCTGATCATCTCCTGTATTAGTATCATAGCCTCTGGTCATCTCCTGTATTAGTATCATAGCCTCTGGTCATCTCCTGAATTATGTCCACAGCCTCTAATCATCTCCTGTATTATGTCCACAGCCTCTGATCATCTCCTGTATTGTGTCCACAGCCTCTGATCATCTCCTGTATTATGTCCACAGCCCCTGATCATCTCCTGTATTATTATCATAGCCTCTGATCATCTCCTGTATTATTATCATAGCCTCTGATCATCTCCTGTTGTGTATATGCAATCTCTGAGAATTTCTTTAGTATTACATTCACCAAATATTATGTGCGGTCCTTTGGTGATTTCAAAGGCAACTCCTATATCAAAAAACTGACTGCCTCTGATATAGTACATAAAAAGTTAAGAGCTGATATAGCCCACCAGACTCCATCTATGAGTAAAGAAACGTTGTAACCAGTTGTGTCAGGTTTTTTTTCCATTGGGGAAATTGTCCTTCACTACCTGTCCCTTGGCCACAATAGGAAGTAAGAGGAAACCCCTCCAAAGTTTGAAAATCCTTGATTGTCACCAGGGTCACCAAAACTAATGTCCACATTGGAGGATCTCCCCTGAATTCCTGTTCTGATGACAACCCAAATTTGGGATTTTCTTTTACTTTTGCTCACAGCGGAATGGCCAAAGAGACAAATAGAGAGGGTGAATCTCCCTAACAGGGGCAAAGACAGCAATAAAAACCTGACCAGGTTATAATCCCTCTCCACTTCATCAAAAACTAAAGAAAAATGGCCTTCAGGGCTAGTTCACACTAGATGCAGTTCAGTGCGCTTTTTTTCTGCATCAAAAATGCATGCACAGTGTTTTCCATCTATTCCAATGGCCCTAGTTCACACTAGTGTAGTCATTTCCAGTCAGTTTCCGGTGCAGGAAAAAAAGTAGAACATGCTTCATTTTTTCTGCACAGAACCATACTGGAACATGGCAAACTGCATCAAAACTGCACTGAAACTGCGTGTGGTGTGAACTGTAAGCAACAACGTATCCGGAACACATCCGGAATGCATTTTTGTAATGTGGGGCCGGTTCACACTATAGAAATGCAGTCTAGATGTGTTCTGGATGTGTTTTTGCATACCCGGTTTTTATGTGTTTTTGGCACATTCTGGTGCATTTTTTATGCATTTTTGGCACATTTTGGTGCATTTGTGATGCGTTTTTATGCATTCTAGTTCATTTTTTCCCCTCTCTTTTCTTCAATTCAAATAGGAACGTGTGTTCCAGTGCATTTCGGTGCATTTTTTATGCGTTTTTTCCATGTTCCAGTACAGTTATGTGCAGTAAAAATACAGCCTGTTCTACTTTTTTTTCTGCAACCGGAACGCACTGGAACTGCAAGCACTGATGTGAACTATGACATTGACAACCATATAACCTACTTTCTGTGCGTTTTGGATGCAGAAGAAAAGCAACTGAAACGCATGTAGTGTGAACTGACCCTTAGGCACACTTTAACCCCTTCCCACCCAAACCCGGCTTCCCGTTAACAAGGTCTTTATGCCTGGGTGTGGGAAAGGCCTGCCCGATTATGTGACCACTGTGATTGGCTGTCGCAATGGTCGCAGGATCATTACTATAGATTGGGACCTGTCTTTGGTAAAAGAGAAACCTCTTTTGTCCACTGACATATATGTGTGGCAAGGGGACATTAAAGCCCACCCTCTTTGCCGCAGCACATACTGTATGTGTTACGTGAGGTGCAAGAGGTTAAGGGTGGACTGACTTTGAACTTTTAAATACAGCTCTGGTCCTGAACATAAAATCTCCATTAAGAAAATATGTTAAGCAACATTATAAATTCCGTTTACGTTTATGGTATATATGTGTGTTTTTGATTCAGTTTTATATGCATTTTAAGGGCTTTTTTTTTTCCTGTTTCTGCTCTGTTGTCATTCGCTAAAATGTATGACAGATGCCTATTTCATGCTCTTCCATTCACAGATCCTGCAGTGTTTCCTGGTAACCACAGCAAATGACACTTTTAATGGGATTTTGTTTTTTTTTTTTAATTTTAATTGGACCAAAGAACTAGTTTAGATCAACCAGTATGTACAAGTATTTGCTGGGACGGAGTTTTTCAGTATAATCTTGTTTGCCAAGCAGCGTCCCATTTTTTTTCTTCTCTCAGACATCCCATCTGAATTTGTTTAAAGCATGTTCTGCTAAACAAGGCTTTTCTTAAGAAAGTGCCAATTACATGGCGTTTGGCTGGAGCGCCAAGGAAAGGGGAGAAAAATGAACAGCAGTCAACTAATAAGTTGGATTAACTGCAGCGGTCCATTTTTTTAACTCCCTCATAGCATCTATTATAAAAAAAAAAACCTTCTTCCTCTCTCCTCCTCTGCTCTGTGGGGACAGATCAGGAGAAAGGCTTTACTGAATGAAATCTGAGCCAGAGCCACATGTAAAGGAGAAAATCCAGCCACCCAGACATAAGCAGACTGGGGTCAGGGAGGGATATGAGGAGATACACGGAGGAGCAACTGGCAAGAAGGAAGTCGAGGCCAGATCAATTATATTATTATTCATGATAGATCAGTGAATAAATGCATCTTAGATAAAGGGGTACTCTTTGGAGCAGCCATTCTCAACCATGGTTTTGTAGAACCCTAGTGTCCTCCAGAGGTTTGAAGGGGTTCCTTGAGCTGTGGCTGATTGACTTCCCATCTGATGGTGTCTACTTAGTTCCAGGGCCAATGCTACTTGCCAGAGTCAACAGCATGACCTTTTGGCTAAGATCAAGTGTAGTATCTGTTCTTATCAGTGTCCAGTAGGGGTGCTCCACCATCATTCCTGCTTGCGGGGATGATTGGTTGTATAGTACCCCTGCTGGTAGGATCGGGGTCCTGATGGTTAGTACAGGCTGGAACAGAAACCGAGGCGCCCACAGGCTGCTGGTGCCCAGGAGTAATTCCCCCTGGAAAACCGGAGGGGCCCAGTTCCTTCTGATTTGAACGGATCTACCTTGTCTGGCCAGGGGCCGGGGAGGCAGAGAGTCTGCGAACCAGTGCCCCCTGAGAGTGGTCGCCTCAGGGGTGCTCTTAGTAACACTTGGGTGTGGGACCCCAACGTGTGAAAAGGCACATGGTCACTGTTTCAACACTTTTTCTGCACTGCGCCTTTTAGGGCTAGGCCTTTTGGCTAAGTCCTGGGCAATTTTTGCTACGGGCCTCAGGGCCTGGCCAGTGCACAATCTGCACGGCCACTTATTTATTTATTTTATTTATTTTTTCTCCCCACGTTTGTCACTTTCACTTTTGTGTGTGTTTTCCTTCTCACAGGATGGTAGGGTGTGGGTCCTCGGGCCTACCCTGAAGTCTAGGCAGAGGATGTGTGGCCTTTTGGTTCCTTCCTCCCCTGTCCTTAGGGGGTTTTCTCTTTGGGAGAGTCCCCTTACCAAGTACTCGGTGGCTGGCTTCGGCTGGCCACAAGGAACGGGGTCCGCCAGGCCTTTTGGCTAGGCGAACCACATGGGAACCTTGTCCCTGTCAGGAGCTTCATGCCCTAGGGGATCAGGGTAGAGGTCCATCCCCTTTGGGGGAAGGACAAAGCACACCCCTAAGTGCACTTTTTTTGTGTGGTGTTTTGCACTTGCACGTTTTTTGTGAACACTTGAACACTTACGGGTTTTTCGTTTTTCGCACGTTCGGGGAACTTAAAAAAAAACAGCATGACACCAATTATCTTTTTAGTTTTCTGTAAAAGGTGGAGTTCTGACTAAAACTATGGGGGGGAGGGAGCATTCTTCAAACTGACCACCAATATAAGGGGCATTTTTCCAACTGATCCCCAATTAATTGGTTTTAGCAGGGGATCTCTGAGACCTGAAAATTACTTTAGTGGTTCCTCTAGGGCAGGGGTGCCAAAGTTAATTTAATTGCTGTATCAGCTTTATGGTTGCCCTCAAGGGCCTAGATGTCCAGAACACCCCCCCCTTACATCAGATGTCAGGAGCTCCCCCACTATCAGAAGTCAAGAGTCCCCCACCCTGCCTTACATCACTGTGCATCCCCCTTACCTTGTGCTGCTGCTGGGAGGAAGCTGGGGTCAGAGCTGAGAGGCAGAAAGTGCAGGGTCTGGAGGAAGACCAGTGGAGGGCTGGAGTCAACTTCAGGAGTCTGCTGAATGCTGAGACCAAGGGAGGTGGAGTTGAGGGGGTGCTGCAGCTGCACAGAGAGGTGCAAGATCTGTAGGAGGAGTTCTGTCCTCCTCTCTGCTGTCGACTGCTGACACGGGGGGGGGGGGGGAAGTTATAGACAAGCCTCATTGCAGCTGCATGGAGAAGCACAGGACCAGGTGAAGGAGTTTTATCTTTCTCTCTCCTGCCGATTGTTGAGACAAGGTGGGGCAGAGACGAGGAGGGTGCCGCAGCTGCAGGAGAGGTGCGAGGGCCACATGAAATGCAAGAGAATGTCACACCATGGATCTCCAGAACGGGTCCAAAGCTTTATTCAATGACCACATCATTATAACAAAAGTCACACTTTAGAGCCTCGCAGTACCCCTTCATCAGGCAAGTGACAGTTACATGCCTGATGAAGGGGTCCTGCAGAACTCTGAAATGTTGCTTCCATTCTATTGTAATCGCTGAATAAAGCTTTGGACCCATTCTGGAGATCCGTAGTGTGCTGTTGACATTTTCTTGCTTTCATTACCTTCGGTTCCAGCCTGTGGCCTCTACAACACCTCTCAACACCAACCCTTTGCAGGAGCATGTGCATTGGGAATAGTATATTTGGGCCTCATTAAATGGGCTGTTGGGATTGTTTTTGACACATGTGCTCTAGTGTACAAAAACTTGAGGCTTCTTTAGAGCCTTGGTGCCTGACTTGCGGCCTGGGGGCCACTTGTGCCCCTTTGGTACCTGTTGTTTGGTCCTTGGGCCAACCGTCACCTGTGTTTCCCTTACCTAGGCGCTTATTCAGACCAGTGAACGAAAATATTCTTTAGAGTGGTTGCTAGTAATTAATGGTTTACTTTATTTCTTTCAAACTATTTTACTTTTCTCTGTGCTGTCCTTCCATTGTTAATTTTTATGTTTTTTTTTATTTCTATGGATCTAAGGCTGGCCACACACAGATCAAATTCCTGATAAATTGGTCAAACTTACTTCCATTGGTGGCCCCATCGGCACCACTTGGCTTGACAAAAGTCAATGTTGTCAAAGGAGCCAGGAGGAAAGTTCTCAGCCGTACAGAGCCTCTAGCCAATTAGATGCAAACACTGTTCAGGTATTCTGACAGACACTAGTGCTGGATATCAGAATACAATATCAGCAGTGATCTCTAGCAGTCTCCTGTGGTATGTCTCTGGTCTTTGATTATCTCCTGAAGCATAACCCCAGTCTCCCAACAACTCCTATATCATGTCATCAATCCCTGACTATCTCTGGTAGCATTTCTGAATTCTCTAACCATCTCCTGTTGCAGATCTACAGCTTCCATCAGCTTTTGTGACATCACATCAATATGTGTGGCCCTTTGGTGACATCCCATTTGAAGCCCAATATATTTTGATAGTTGACTCCCACTGCTTTAAAGATGAATGTTGCTGCTCCCGCCTTGTCCAGGGTAACTGGTCTTGTCTCCACCCCTTCCTGTAATTTTCTGAAGGCAGCCTGTAGTGGATGGTTTCTGCTGAGTCCCTCCCACAGCTCTGCTCTCTGCCCAGGCTATGTACAGTACATCGATGATATCATTGCTACGTTAACAAGGTAATATCTGGGCTTGAAAAGTAGTTTAGTGCTCACAAAGTGGATTTATATCCTTTGTGGTTAATCAGAAATATATTTTAAATAAAAGTTTTATGCCTGCCATTCAGCTTTAAAGACCAACAGTGTATTAATTGCCATCACGCTATTGATGTCTACAGTGCGTGCATCACAGCATGCACAGAGCTAAATTCCCTTCTTTGCTCGGCATCACAGGGGATTATTTAAAATAAATTAAAGCAGTCTGAAAAGGATGCATGTAGGACCACACAATACTAGTTGGAAATCTCTGACCCAGACCTAGATGGTCATAATTTATGCATGGACAAACAGACACTCACTGTTTTCACACAGGGAGCCATTTGAAACACTGCAAGATGCTGTATCATTCTCTGTGGCCTAAGATGAACATTCCACTATGGCCGGCCAGCTATCTGAAGAGGAACCTCATGACAAGGGCTGCCCCTATACACATATATGTGGATGGAATGCTGTAAGGCAACAAGCTACTGAATCTGCCAGAAACTAATACACAGCCATTTGACTGCATAGACACTCAAATATCTGCAAAGGTTCTGTACATTTATAACTGTTATTACTGTTTAATTCCCAAGGCTTTAAATCAGCTAATTACATTCCAGGTGTACCAATACAAAAGGATTACACAGTCTAACAGTAAATCCAGGTAGAATAGCCCATCCACTGTCAGCATGCTGCAAAGAATGACCCTTGCTCTCTGTG